GGGCCAGCTCTTTGCATTGTAATGGCATTCTTTTACACAATGCATTCCAACCCCAAAGAGACTGACCAAGCATTTCAGCTCTCCTGTAATCTGTGCCAACTTCTTGCTATTATTTCTCGATGTGTCTGCTAGACTGTTCTGAATTTTCTTTCAAAGAGTTAATAATTTGCTTTGATAGTTTCTTAATCTTTGTTAATGATCTATTAATTTTTTCTGTTGAGATTTAAGACTTAAAGAGTGTGGAACTACTGAAGCATGATTTGGCATTATAAAATGATACAGGTGAGTGCATACATCCTTGGAGAATACAGCCATATTCTAGCAAGACGGCCTGGGTGTAGTCCAAAGGAAATCTTTAGCTGCATACACGAGAAGCTTCCTACTGTTTCGTAAGTGCTTTTTTGACCTTTGATGACATCTTTCTGTTATTTGTATTATCTCACAGCTGAATTCAATTAAATTGAATATGCTCAGGACTTCAACAATTCCTATTCTCCTATCAACATATGCTAAGATTTTGATGCACACACAACCAGATCCAGACTTGCAGAATCAAATTTGGGCCATATTCCGAAAGTAAGATTGGTTTTTTAGTGTGATTTGCTCTTTATAGAGCATGCAATCTTGCTGAAATGTTCAAATGCCTTGATAAAACTGCACACTGTTCAGGTATGAAAGCTGTATTGACGTTGAAATACAACAACGAGCTGTAGAATACCTTGAACTGAGTAAAAAAGGTGCAGTTTTGAGGGATGTATTAGCTGAAATGCCAAAGTTCCCTGAACGACAGGTACACATGTAGAACTTGCATAGCAATGTAATTCTTTAAATGATTTATTTATTGATTTGGAAGAAGGAACTGTTTCTACACAGTTCACTCTTATAGTATCTGAATGTTAATTGTTTTATTCTTTTGCAATATATGCTATCTTTAATATTGTGTCTCTGAATTTAGTCTGCGTTGATCAAAAAAGCCGTGGAAACTGAGGCTGATACTGCTGACCAAAGTGCAATCAAGTTGCGTGCACAGCAGCAGACTTCTAATGCTTTGGTAGTGACCAACCAACACCTAACTAATGGAAGTCCACCTGTTAACCAGCTAGGTCTTGTAAAGATACCAACCATGAGCAATGTGGTAAGATGTCTGTCACCATCTTGATTTTTATGGACTGTGATGTTGGTAATAGGGATCTGTGTGTTTACTATCAATAAGACATACCATTTGAACAGGATCATAGCTCAGCAGATGAAGGTGTGACACAGGCAAATGGGACTTTGACTGTTGTTGATCCTCAACCCTCTTCAACACCTTCACCTGATCTTCTTGGGGATCTATTAAGTCCACTAGCTATTGAAGGCCCTCCAGCTGGTGGTAACCAAGTTGACACAAATTTGGTATCTGATGCTAAAGGTGCTCCAATGCCGCCAGAGGCTTTAGCATTGGCACCAGTCGAAGAGCAGACAAATACTGTCCAGGTACTACCTATTACTTACATATCAATACCTTCAGTTGGAGCCTGGAGGTTGATCATATCATTCATGATACTTTCTGCTAGCTGAGAAATGTTCTAGCCCCTTTCTGGTGTTGCATGAATAGCATGGAAGTTGTTTCTTACTTATGGTTTCTAAAAGATCTTTGTACTTCGGGTTTTTAAATCATCTGACAAGGATAAAATCTCAAAGCTAATATGTGTGTTAAATTTAGGCATTGTGATCCAATTTGCATCTGAACCTTTTGCTTTATCTTTACAGCCAATTGGAAATATTGCAGAAAGGTTTCATGCATTATGCCTCAAGGATAGTGGTGTATTATATGAAGATCCTTATATACAGGTAAACATCTGTCCATAGTATGCATGCAACCTTTTTTCATGGTCCATGGACTTCAGTTTGCTATTAATTTACTTGTTCATTCATTTCTAGATTGGCATAAAAGCTGAGTGGCGAGCACATCACGGACGGCTTGTCCTCTTTTGGGGAAATAAAAATACTGCTCCACTCGTATCAGTTCGAGCTATAGTATTGCCCCCAACGCATCTGAAGATGGAGCTGTCATTAGTACCTGAGACTATTCCTCCGCGGGCGCAGGTCATTTTCCTGATTCTGCTTTATGTCACAAGTAGATTTTGTGATCACTTTCCTGGTTACATGGATTGCTCTATTAATCTTTTAAACTGAAACAAACTCTTTCAGGTTCAATGTCCACTGGAAGTAATCAACCTGCTCCCAAGTAGGGATCTGGCTGTTCTTGATTTCTCTTATATGTTTGGGACCCATGCGGTATTCTTCCAGAAATTGTCTTATAAGTTCTAATTTCTAGCATAGCTAATGAACGAGCAAAAAGATTTCTTGTTTTTATTGCTAACTGTGACCTCCTGCATATTAATAGGTTAATGTTAAACTTCGGCTTCCCGCTGTCTTGAACAAGTTTCTTCAGCCTATAACAGTAACTGCTGAGGAATTTTTTCTGCAGTGGAGATCATTATCAGGACCACCATTGAAACTCCAAGAAGTGGTTTGTATCTGTAAACTTCAGTTGCATGCTTAAATTAGGTTAAATATTCAAAGAGTAGAAACATAAAAATCTGCCTGTTTTGGTTATAATATTGATCAGGTTCGAGGTGTAAGACCAATGCCACTTTTGGAAATGACAAACCTGTTTAGCAGCTTGCAATTGATGGTTTGTCCGGGACTTGTAAGTGCTGCTACTCTTTTTGTTTCCATGATTCACTTATGATGTTTGCCTCATTTTTTAAGTCATGAAATTGCAAATTAATTGCTTATTCAGGATCCAAATACAAATAACTTGGTTGTAAGCACAACTTTCTATTCAGAGAGTACAAGAGCCATGCTGTGTTTGGTAAGCTTATAGCAGTTCTCTGATGCTTTAAAAGAAAAATATAAAGGATTATTTCGATTACAGATTTCCAAGATGAACATTCTGTTGAGCACAATATAATGTCCTTGCAATAATTTACAGATAAGAATAGAAACAGATCCTGCCGATAGAACTCAGCTGCGTATGACAGTTGCTTCTGGGGACCCAACACTAACATTTGAGTATGTTAAATTTGTTTTGAATAGGAGTATATATTTCAGTCAAACATATGTAGGCAACTTATATAACTGACCACCAATCTCCGTCCCCTGCATAGGTTGAAGGAGTTCATTAAAGAACAATTGGTTAGCATTCCTACAACCGCTCCTAGACCAGCCACACCAACACCTTCACAACCTCGGGCAGCTAGCCCACCTCCAGCGGCATCAGATCCGGGGGCTTTACTTGCAGGTTTGCTTTGAGTGAATCTAATTTGTCAAAGACTTGTGCACAACCAACATTTGTACAATTTGTTTATACATCGAGTCCACACGTGTAAAAAGATGAGGTGGGTCTTAAACAACTGAATGCAAGGGCTGGCGGGAGCGATGATGATCATGTATCTAATTGGCTTATAGCAGTGATGGGATTCTTGGGCAGTCAGGTTGCAGTTTTGGGATTCTTTGCACAAATACTTTGTGCCTTTCGAGGTTTTTCTTTTCATTTCCGAGGTGGCGAGGGTTTATTATTATTAGTATTATTTTTCACCTTTGAATTCGCTTGGTTTAGTCAGGTTCTACATCATTGGCTTCCGTAGTATGAATAGCAAAATACAAAACGAATGTAACCATTGCAGGTTTGTGATCCATTTGTATTTCATTAGGTAAAAATTTTAATGAGAAGAGGGCGTGATTGATTTAGTAGGATTCTGTCAGTTGATATTAATACATTTTTATGTAGAGATTAAAATCATAATCTTTAATTAATTAATTAGGGTTTTGACGCAAAAATTTTCTGATGTGTTTCCGAGCCTTGTGGATGTAGACTTCTCTTTTTTTAACAAAAGCAGCCGGAAGACTAGTTAGCGAAAGCAAACCCGGCGTGTTCTTTTTTTTTTTTTTTTTTTTTTTTTTTTTTTTTTTTTTTTTGATAACTCGAGTTTTCTGCAACTTGGTTTGACATATGAGGAGCTAGAACAAGACAATCTAATTTTGAGTCCAACTTAAATCTAAATCATCAATATTTATAGCAAGAATTGAACTTATACTTCATTATTGCAAATAAGTTTTAGTGAAGTTTCTCATTTACTATATCAAAATACTCTTTAACAATGTATTTTGATACTTTTTTTTTCTTTTTCTTTTTGTGAGCCATTGAGAGCTTATCATGTGAATTGACAAATTATATCATAGACTAAAGTCTATATTGCAAAGTGAACAAATATTATAAAAATAATATAGGTATATAAAATAATATTTTTTTTTGAGTGAACGGTATATTATAAAACAATATCTTATCACAATATATAAAAATGACACCAACGGTAGTGGACGTAAGTGTCATTATTTGTAAAAAAAAAAAAGTTTCATTATTTGTAAAAAGAAAAGAAAAAGTGGACAAATAAGATACCACGAGTAACATTGTTGGACTAAAATTCATGATATAATTATTGCTGAAAAATTTTCAAAGGGCTTTGATTTTCATTTCATGATTCAAACTTTATGTAAGAATAATTAATGAGTGGCAAAAAGAACTAGAGTTAATTCCATTTTTATTACAGATTTATAGGTGATATTCTATTTTTTTCTTGTATGATTATTTTTTATCCTTCGTCAACAAACATATTTAAGTGATGTCAAAAAAATCATTAAAATTAAGGGAAAATGATATTTTTTTCCTCACTAGTTGTTTACTTATAACACATTTTTTTCTCTGTGTTGTTTATGTAACTACTTTATTCCCTTAATTATTTTTATCCTTATTTTTAAAGTCCAAATATTTATTTTAATGGATAGGGAAAGAAATAGCCACTTTAAGGTATCAATTATTTTTAGAAAATATTTTCTTTTAGAAATTCTGACAATTTAGTGTGGAAGCTGTTTTATTATCCGTCACAGAATTAATTACTCCGTAGGAGATTTTTTGCCAAACGAGCCGGACGAAGAGGCAGCGCGAGCCGCCGAGCCGAAGATCAGAGACGGATTGATCCTAGCGATGCAGAGAAGACACTACACTCTTAAGTCTCCTATTAAAACTGGATGGCGGGAAATACGGAATCTCGCGCGAACATTCATATCCATCTAGGGTTTCGAATTCTCCCATAAACCCCGTTCAATTTGAGGGTTAGCAGGAGATACAAATCCCCAAAGATTTCAAAATTAAGCCCAAATTCTTCAGAAGATTATTTCCTTTACAAATAAAATTGGGGGAATTCCCTGCAGGTATTACAGGAATGGGTAACAAAGTACCTGAAGAACTTGTTTCTACGGTCCGGTCCATCGTCGGCGATGAGTACACCGAGATGGATATAATTCGAGCTCTTCATATGGCGAATAACGATGCAACGGCCGCAATTAACATCATTTTTGACACCCCTGGTTTCAAGAAGTTAGAATTTAGGAAAACCCCTGAGCCACCCAATCTTAATTCAAGCTCAGGGACACAATGTCTAGGTTCAACTACAAGGAGAAGTAGTAGTGAGGGTGAGAAATGTGAGCGTAGTACGATTTCAGCTAATGGTTCACAGCTGAAGAGTGAGAACCGGGAGAGTAATAATGGGTGCATAAGCGATGCTGATGGGTGTGAGATGGGGAGTGAGTGGTGGTTTGTGGGTACTAGTGAGGTTTCCGGCCTCTCAACCTGTAAAGGGAGAAGTTTGAAGCCCGGAGATGAAGTATATTTCACTTTTCCTTCTGAGAAGAAATTGAATTCACCATCCTTGGCGAAATTTGGCCGAGGTCGACAGGTGGTTGCTTGTTCTGAAATTGTGCGGTTCTCTTCAAAGGCACTTGGAGAGGTACTCATCTAGTTTCATGTTACTGCAAATGCTTGTAAAACTTATTCCATAACTAAATATAGTAGTAAAATTTTATACCTATATCAATGAACTCAGGCTATTATGCATGGATGTATAATGTATTCACTTGGAGCTTACATGGTACAAGATTACACCATTGTCAAATCATTAAGATACCAAAACAATCCTTTAATTTACAAACATCAAATTAACTGCATGGTTTTCTTAGTGTAGAAGTCCTGTACTTTTCTCCTTACATTACTGAAGTGAGGTTACAATACAAGGTTTTTGTAGCATCAACTGCCTACAGTCATTGCTACTTTGCTAGTCATCTCCTTTTTGTATATATTTGTCCAGTGCATATTAATTTTCTTATGAGATTCATTTCAAGATTTAGAAATCAGAAGCTTTAAATGAAACCAAATTTTTTTAGAAGTGCCAAATACTACAAAATTTAGTGTGGCAAACTATATTTAAGAATGCAAAGCTCATGCATATTGCTTATATTTCAAGCGGTGTGAAACTTCAAGCAGATAGATATATCACATACTGTGCTTTATGGTGTATTTCACTGTGTCGGTTTAAGCAGATTGGAAGAATTCCAAACGAATGGGCTCGATGTCTCTTGCCACTTGTGAGGGAAAAGAAGGTTAGGGTTGAAGGATATTGTAAATCTGCTCCTAACGTATTGGGGATTATGGACACGGTAGTTTTGTCAGTCAGGTAGTATTTGGATGGCTCAAGTTTGTATAATCAGTCAGTTGACTTAAAATTAAGTACAATTGACTTAAATAAAGATTAATGGAATGTGCTTTATTTAAGTTTTTATTTTATATGCAGTGTGTATATTAACAGTTCCATGTTCCGTAAAAGCCATAAGACCCTCCTCAAGGTGGCTACCAACAATTCCACAGATGAATCAATTGTTTATCCCCTTCCAACATTGTTTCGATTGCTACGACTTACGCCTTTCCAGAAGGTAACAATTTTCTTCAGTTTTTGTTTTATGCATAGAGGCGTGCCTGGTTTCAACACCAACAGTGTGAAAGACATTTTTGTTCATATTTTCTTTTTGAATGTTATTAGGCAGAGTTTACTCCAGGCGATCTTTACATGAGGAAGCGTCGTTTGATTGAAGAGGTAAACTTAGAATGTTGGTTGCTAATTTTGTATGTTATACATAAACAATGTTGCACAAGGCGCTAGGCGCTAGTTGGGCGCTTGGGAGCGCGCCTAGGTGGCTGAGTAATTTGAGCATATCATCTCCATTTTTTCCACTCAGGGCTGGGAGTTGTTAGACTCTTATAATCCCCAAACTAGTCATCTGCACATGTTAGATGGTTAGTTGAGTACATGGTTGGAGAAATATAGAAGAGGAGTAGTCGAGCAGGCAAAAAAAAAACACTCGGCTGAGTTGAGCGCCAACTTGACCGAGTTGGTCATCGACTCGGCCGAGTTAGGCGCCTAGTCGGCCGACTAAAAGCCATCTAGGGCTGAAATTGCCTCGGCCTAGGGGCGCCTAGGCCAATTTTTACATCACTGTACATAAATCCCCTCACTCCCACCCCCACCCCTTTTTTTTTTTCCCTCTCTTTCTCTCTCTCTCTCTCTCCATGTGTGTGCTAATAGAGTACCAAATTACGAGATACTGGAAGCAACATGTGGTGACATAGTACGCACTAAGATTAGCTTCTCAGGAGAGCTTGAGGTGTTACTGTTCGAATTCCTTTTTTAAACATTTTGTCTTTGTTTTAACAGAACAGTTCTGGCATTCATACTTCACCATTGCATGTTAATAAATTCAAAAAATTGGTCACAAATGAAGGTGAAGCTGACGGTGATGAGTCGATCTCTGATACTGATCTGGAAAATATTGTGGGTTTTGCTGACAACTCTGAGTTAGAGGTACATGCCAGGTTTGGAATTGTTAGTTTGTTTCCTAATTTCAATAAGTTCTTCAAATGGATCACATATTTTCATCCTCGTATTTTAGGAAATGGAACCTCCTAGTACACTTCAGTGTGAACTTCGTTCTTATCAGAAGCAGGCTCTTCACTGGATGACTCAACTTGAGCAGGTTCACAGTGTGAATGATGCAAAAACAACTTTGCATCCGTGTTGGGAAGCATATCGCCTTGCAGACAAGTATATGAGGCTTTAATAATGTAATTACTATATAATTTGATTTCCTGTTTGTAACAGTTATTTATTGATAGGAGAGATCTAGTGATCTACTTGAATGCATTTTCTGGGGATGCAACAACAGAATTTCCAAGCACCCTTCAAATGGCCAGGGGTGGAGTATGTTGCTGTTTTGCTTTATTGTCCATTGTGTCATACCATCTGATTTGTGTTTCAGTCTTTTGACTTTGAGAACAAAATTGAAGATTTTGGCAGATTCCATGGGGCTTGGAAAGACTATTATGACTATAGCTCTCCTTCTGAGTTGTACTGAAAGAGGTGGATCACCAGGAAGCCAGCCAACAAGCCTGCCTTCCCATGAAAATGGTGATACCAGTGATATCTCAGATCAATCTCCAACTCCTTCAAAGAAAGCAGCAAGATTTCCTGGTCTTGAGAAGTTTTTGAAACAAAAACCAACATTAAAATCCGGTGGCAATCTGATTGTATGCCCTATGACACTTTTAGGCCAGTGGAAGGTACATCTTTTCTGTTTCAAGTATGCCTGTCAAAATGGTTGGTTCTTTAGAATTTACAATGACTTATGTAACCTAGTTAAGGTACTCATTAATAATTTGTATTGATAGGCAGAGATTGAAATGCATGCATGCCCAGGCACTTTAAGTCTTTATCTTCATTATGGACAAAGTAGATCAAAGGATCCAAAGTTTATTGCTCAAAGCGATGTTGTACTAACAACATATGGAGTTTTGGCATCAGAATTTTCTAGTGAGGTACTGTACTATTTACTTCCCCCTCCTCTCTTAGAAAAAGAAAAAGGAAAGGATGGAGGTGACAAACTTGGTTTTGCCCTTGTGTATGTGTATGTGTGTATATATTTATTTATTTATTTATATTTATTTATTTTATTTTATTGCACTACAGAATGCTGAGGAGAATGGGGGGCTTTTCTCAGTTAGATGGTCTAGAGTTGTGCTTGATGAGGCTCATACCATAAAATCTTCTAAAAGCCAAATTTCTATAGCTGCATCTGCTCTTATTGCTGAGCGTCGGTGGTGTCTAACTGGTACGCCCATCCAGGTATACTTTTAGAGAAAACATTTTGTAGATCATATTATTTACATCACTGTTATTCTTTGTTATGCATTATACAAATCAACATATCATGAAATGATTCATTACATAGCAGTTTGAGAATCCATGCTAAGTTGGACATGTTTGTCAGATTGTTGCTGACATCCTTCATGATTAGAAAAATAGAACTCTGACAGTATGTCTCTTTTCTTGTTTTCTAATTTGTAAATGCATCTTTGGAACCATTTATAAGTTTTTAGTAGTGAGTATTCTTGTATGCTCACTAAATGAATAGGTTGTTCACTTGGATTAAATTTAAAATGAGTTAATTCTACTTTATCTATAAAAAGGTGATCTATTGCTTAGCTACATGACACATATGTTACTAATGTGGTTATCAAGCAACATGGTCTATTGGTCTTTTACTTAACCGGTTAAATTATGCAGTTCTATCCTTGGGAGTCTTTCACCCAGTTGAGTGCACTCAGACCTTAATTCTGATAATGGTTCAAGCTATGATTTGATATTAGTTATTTAGGTTTGACCTCCCATTAAAAAAAAAAAAAAAAGAACTTCATTGCTTTATTGGATAAATCTGAAGGAACTTATTTGGCAATTTATTTTCTTTTTATTTTTTATTTTTAACTACATTGCTTTGTGAAAGTGCTACTACCACTTCACTTGGTTTACTAATTGAAATATGCAATGATTAATAGTGTAGGTTGCCTTCATTGTTGTGTTAACTTTAGATATTTCTTCAAGACTACATTTGGGATAAGTTGGTTTGATGATCTCTGTACTGATTCATCACAAGACAATCTTTAAAGTGTGTGTGTGTGTGTGTGTGTTTTTTTTTTTTTTTTTTCTTTGTGATTCTTTTTCCCAAATTTTAACTTTACAGGTTAAAGCTGTTTCTTGGGCTTGTATGCTTGATGTTTTTATTTTTCATTTCTTTTAAGACTTGGAATCTGACATGCTGTTTTCTTGTAACAGAACAACATTGAGGATGTTTACAGCCTCCTAAGGTTTTTGAGGATTGAACCATGGGGAAGCTGGGCATGGTACGGTTGTAGTGTGGTACTTATTCTTATAGTGAGATTTGACCTTTTAAAATGCTTGTTAATTTATAATGATAACTGTAATATAGTTTGTCAGTGGAGGCTCTCTATAAAGTCTACTGTTGTTTTCTTCTCTAATCTTGTCACCTTGCACTTTGCATTCGAGTGGAATTAAAAACTAAATCTAAAAATCTAATAAGAGTGAATGAAGGTTGGTACCCTTCATTTATGTCCATTTTTCGGTTCTATTTTTGATACATTATACTATAAGAGTTGTACTATCATATCTTTTCTTATATTCTTTAATGATAACAATTGATTTCACTTACATTTTAATTAGTTATTTCCTAAAATATAAATATTAAATTTATAAAAATAGTTTACATTAATATTGTTATTATACAATAACATAAATATTTTCTTGATATTGTTCAAATTTGATAATCAAAATTTACTGTTTTAATAAATTGCAAAAGTAATTGAAATTTAAAAGTTTAAATAATTTTAACATGATTACTATTTTAATATTGGGCACAAATATCCGCGCATAGCCCCTAGCTTATACTAGTCTTATTATAAATGAATATGACTTGTACCTTTTGCCAAATATTGATTATGTACATTACTTGACAAATCAATTTCTAAATTTGACCATGACTATATATCTATAGTAAAGGCTAAACAAGATGACATTAGTACATTACTCACAAAGTCTATATTTTGTTGAGTTTCCACCCCCCCCCCCCCCCCCTTCTTTTATGCCTTAATCAATTTTGTGTATGCTTGAGCACTCATCTGGATGTATTCAGGTGGAACCAACTTGTTCAGAAACCCTTTGAGGAGGGAGATGAGAGAGGATTGAGGTTGGTTCAATCAATTCTTAGACCTATAATGTTAAGAAGAACAAAGTCTAGCACTGATCGAGAAGGCAGGTAGGTCTTGATTGTGTAACAAAATATTTTCTTTTTCCATGCTTTTGTAGTTTTGTTTTGTCATTGATTGCCAATGGTTACCTCTTGGCTCTTGTGCAGCCTATACATGATTTCTTTTGATTATATATGATGCAGGCCAATTTTAGTTCTTCCACCAGCAGACATTCAAGTAATATACTGTGAATTCACTGAAGCAGAAAAGGACTTTTATGAGGCCTTGTTCAAACGATCAAAGGTGATGTATGTTAATGGTTTTCTGAGATGTTTTGTATTCATTCCTTTGAGAGGAAAAATTATGTTTGCTGCCTTTGAGATAAACTTTATTGTCTGCAATTCCTTCAGGTGAAGTTCGATCAGTTTGTTGAGCAGGGGCGGGTTCTCCATAATTATGCTTCTATTTTAGAGTTGCTTTTACGACTTCGCCAATGTTGTGATCATCCATTTCTTGTGTTGAGGTTTGATAATAGACCCCTAATACTCTCTCTCTCTCTATATATATATATATGTATATATATATACTGTATTATACATTTATACTCCTAAATTATTTGTTTATGTTGATTGTTACAATTTTAATCAATATGTATTGTATTTGCTTGATGATTACATACCCTCATTGAAAGTTGTAAACATTAAACAATGTAAGACGAATATGTCTTACTCCTTATAAGATGAAAGAATACACTTGTATATATAGATGTTGAGAGTCTCTAAGATAGAAAGTCTATAGTCCTATCCCTATAATCATGCTACCCTATCCCTACAATCATGTTATTCTATCCCTAGGATTGAGTGATCCACAATCTATGCAATTGGTCTATTTACCATTCATAACACTCCCCTCAAGTTGGAGCATAGCTGCATAGATGTTAATCATGCCCAACTTGTTACATAAATAATTAACCCGAGTACCGTTAAAGGCCTTTGTAAAAAGGTCTCCAAGTTCTCTAGTCTTCACAAATCCTTTAGATATCAAGCCTCTTTGTATTTTATCATGAACAAAGTGGCAGTCAACTTCAATATGCTTGGTTCGTTCATGAAAGACAGGATTGGATGCAATATGAAGTGTGGCTTGGTTATCACACCATAATTTTGTAGGAATAGGAATTTTGAAACTTGCTTCACTCAAAAGATGATATATCCATATTACCTCACATGCAGATTATGCCATAGCCTTGTATTATGACTCTGCACTTAATCATGACACAATGTTTTGCTTCTTACTCTTCCATGAAACTAGATTCCCACCAAAGAAGACACAATATCCAGTTGTAGATCTTCAGTCTTCCTTAGATCCTGTCCATTCAGCATTTGTAAACCACTCAGTTTTAGTATGTCCTTGATTTCTATATAGGATTTCTCATCTGGGAGCTCCTTTTAGATAACAAAGAATTTGTTCCACAACAGCCCAATGGTCACAAGTTGTCGGAGATGACATGTATTGACTCACTACACTAACAGGATATGCAATATCCAGACGAGTTACCGTCAGATAGATTAGCTTCCCAAATAGTCTTCTATACCTTTCCGGATCTTCAAGCAATTCCCCTTCTTTTGTGAGGTGTATGTTGGGCATCATGTAAAGAATGTAAGAAGAATATGTCTCACTCCTTATAAGATGAAAGAATACACTGGTATATATACATGTTGAGAGCCTCTAAGATAGAAAGTATATAATCCTATCCCTACAATCATGTTATTCTATCCCAGTATCCCTAAGATTGGGTGATCCACAATCTATGCGGTCAGTCTTTATAAATCATAACAAAAGCTTTCATATGAAATCTCTTGCTGATGGTTTTTCCACACTGCTTTTGGTCTCCAGTCGAGGTGATACTCAAGAATTCTCAGATCTGAATAAGCTTGCTAAACGTTTCCTTAAGGGTGGTCAGAAGACTGGGGAAAACCATGTTAAAGATGTTCCCACTCGTGCTTATATTCAAGAGGTTGTGGAAGAGTTGCAGAAGGGAGAACAAGGAGAGTGCCCAATATGTCTGGAAGCTTGTGAAGATGCTGTGTTGACTCCATGCGCCCATCGATTATGTCGAGAGTGCCTCTTAGCAAGTTGGAGAAGTTCTGCATCTGGTTTTTGTCCTGTTTGTAGGTATCTCTCACTGTTTTGTATACATCAGATTAAAAGTGTCATACCTTAGAAAGGTTGAAATGCAATTATGTTTTTAACTTTTCCTGCTTGTAGAAAGACTGTCAGCAAGCAGGAACTGATCACAGCACCAACAGATAGCCGTTTCCAGATAGATGTTGAAAAGAATTGGGTGGAATCATCGAAAGTTACTGCATTGTTGCATGAACTAGAACAATTACGTGCTGTAAACTCCAAAAGCATTGTTTTTAGTCAGTGGACTGCCTTTTTGGACCTCTTGCAAATTGCTCTTGCTCGGTGTGGACTCTTTTTCCTTTGTTATCCATATCTTCTCATACTGTAAATTATGTGTTTTGGTTGCATTCTACTGCTTAGATTTCTTGTCTTTGGGAACCATATATGTTTGAAGTGGATATTTGACGTGATAATTTCTGCAGGAATGATATCCCTTTTCTTCGCCTTGATGGGACTCTAAACCAGCAACAGCGTGAGAAAGTAATAAAAAAATTTTCAGAAGAAGATAGTGTTTTGGTGCGTGTCTTTCTCTAGCACTTTGCCACTTGGATCACTAAAGGAGGAGAAACATTTTTAGAAGACTGTCTTATTCTTTGATTCAATTTCTATAGGTGTTGTTAATGTCATTGAAGGCTGGTGGTGTCGGAATAAACCTGACGGCAGCATCCAATGCTTTTGTCTTGGTAAATGCTGCTTTTCTATATTCTTGTGTCATAATTCATTATGCAAAGTAGTTAGCAGTTTAATTGATATATAGGGTCTGGTTCTGGTGCGATAACCTCCCCAAGTGCGGACAGATCTGGACTATTGGATGAGCTCAAATCAATAAAAATGGGAAAAAATGATGTGGCATTTTGGTAATTTCATGATATGCTAGTGCATTTAGATATGCGTAATGGTGCTTTGAGTGCAATGCACGTCAAGCATTCCCGTGTGCACCATAGACCAGCACTTAGTACACCACAAAAATTTTTTGGTGTAAAAAATTACAAAAATGTCACCGCGTTTTTTACCATTTTCATTAATTTTTAGCCGTTGATATGAGTTCATTCAATGGTCCAGATATGTTTGCATGTCCGCACTTAGAGAGGCTGCCACATCTTATCCGGATTCTATGTATATAGTGGAGTATTAATATTGGTAAAATGTGTGATTTTCTTGTACAGGATCCATGGTGGAATCCGGCTGTGGAGGAACAAGCTGTGATGCGTGTCCATCGTATTGGACAAACAAAAAGAGTTGCAATCAAACGGTTCATTGTGAAGGTATATTAATGATGTTTTTCTCTTCAAAGATTTCAAGAATGGTCCTCCATTATATCCTCCTAATTCTGAGAACTAAAAGAATAAAATATCCTGGATATATCTTGGGTGGCAGGGAACAGTTGAGGAGAGAATGGAGGCAGTGCAAGCCAGGAAACAGCGTATGATTTCTGGCGCCCTAACAGACCAAGAAGTGCGAACAGCACGAATTGAGGAACTTAAGATGTTTTTCACATAGAAAGCTTCTTCTTCTACTACTTGATCTCTGAAGCTTTTCATTTCAGAGTAAGAACGAAACTCAACAACGCAAAACAACTGCTCGTGTAGATGTGTACTAAATGTATTATAACTTTTCCGGTCACAAATGCATCCGGGATTGGAGATTTGGCAGTAAGACTGCTTGCAGAGTTAGGAGTACATTATTCTAGTGTTCTGTTGTAATGCTCAACAACACATTAGAGATAGTTTTGAAGCCCCTCAACTGCTACACAATATTATTAATTAATTTGTGTAAATTTTTGCAATCTATTTGTGACAAAATCAAACCGGCAGTTAATTTCTATAAGGGGATGTTAGCTTGAAAATATTTTTCAAGGAACTAGCATAACCAAATTACCCCCATATGACTGTGATTGTATTAAGTATAGTTTGGAGTTGAAATTTATCAAATAATGTTTATTTGAATATTGTTATAATATTTATTATATTTTTATAATGAAATATATAAAATTTTGTAATTTATAAATTATTGTTAATTTTAAAATTATTATTATGTAAGAGCATATTGCTCTTTATATTTATTATTTTTATACTTTATAATTCCAAACTCAAATTAAACAATAAAATTAAAATTTTCAGTAATTTTTGTTTTCCACCAACCATTTACGAATTACGAAATGGGCTTTTACGTCTGACAATTCTAATTTTCTGATGGCCATATAATGAGTTTTCTGGTAAAGAACAAAAGAAATATTCCATTGTTACGGTTGCGTTTCATATTGACACATGCAATTCGTGTAGTTTCCCCACTTCAAATTTCTTTCTCGTCAGTCATCAGCATCTCACAGCACAAGACATAACAACGCCAACGACTCAACTGAGTTATACAAATTGTATAGCAATAATACTTCTGTGATGCAATGCCCGTAGATAAGTATGAAGGCAACCGTCTACTTCAATAAAGCTATTGGCATTGCAAGTTTAAAGCATAAACTCTCCAATCGTGCGTCTATGTGGTGTACACACAAACACTTGAATCTTAAATGTACAGATTACAAGTTGAAAAAAATAATAAATTATAGCAGTTCGCGTTTCAAAAGAATGAAGCGAGGCGGCAAACATTTCTCGGATGAAGAAAATGAAAGAAACCTCATTGATTGGCCAAAAAAAGATGGATAGATTGAAGGCATAAGTTGCTATGTTTGCTTTGTTGTGTTTACTGTAGATTGAGAAGCCTTCCCAGACTTTGGGGTTCCATCAATGGCTATATTCCCCACTCTGGCTTCCATCGTCTCTCTCTCATCTTTCTCAATACATTTACCATTTTCTGGTCCATGTGGAGGTGAATTATTAATTGCAGAGGGCACAAGATTTTGTGGACCTCCCATTATCCATGGATGAGTAAGACACTGCGCTGCTGTAGGTCTTTTCTCCGGCACAAAATCAAGTATGGGCACGAGGAAATCTGCCATCTCGCTTGCATCTTGCTCACTGAACTCATATTTTTCCATTAGCACTTTGTTTAGAGGCCAGAACCGCAACCGTCTGATATGCCTCAAGTCTCCATATCTGTTGAAGAATTCCCGTGAATAGCGCCCCCCTAAGGCAATCTATGTACACAACTCAAATCAGAAGGCTATATAGTAGTTCTCCATAAGAGAATTCACCAGCCATGTTTTTCCAGATCTGTTTGGCTAAACCCTAGAAGAGTGTAATTATTCTAAGTAGCATGCGGGAGTACATGTAAAGAAGCTAACCTTGCGTGGCATCATCCCCAAGAGCTCCATCATTAAGGCCAAGTGATCCTGTGAAGTAGGGGGAAGGGATGATCAACAACTATTTAACAATAAAATAAATGACAATCATCATCCAGATCGTGAGATTATTCAATTCAAATTACAGGTAGAAACAAAATTGTGATGTTAGTTCAAACTTCAACAGAATGCTCATACACTGGCAATGCTGCAATAAAAAAGCAAGATCATCTTTTGCTCCCTTCAAGGACATCAGCATTTCATTCATTCACATTTAACTATGTACTTTTGATTCAAACTCCAGCATCAACTAGTTACATTAATAACCCAAAGGGAAAATAAGGTTACAGTGCAACAAATAAAAGATGCCACATATGCAGAAATGCAGAATTTTCACATGAAATTTTTGTTTTATTGATATCCAATTGAATTACACATAGCAATACATATCCAATTTTGGGTCATGATTCCAATATGATATGTATTATATGTCAGCCCATACGACTTCCAAAAGGTTACCCTTTTTAAGATATTACAAGGGAAGTCCTCTCTTAAACAGCAAAGAATGAGCCAATAACTACTCTTTGTGGTACATAGAATGATTGCTTTAAACAGATATCAGTACTATCTGGTCTTCACTTTGAAAGGCAATCTCAGTAACAGAATCTAAGTCTTCAACTTAAATGAATCCCTCCCAACTTTTTGTTATAAAAGCAGCTCTTCATCTAACAGACATATAATAGGTGGAGTAAAAAATTTTTAGAAAGAGGAACACATAATTTTTATTTGAATCATATGTTTTTTTTCTTAGTTTCTTTTCTCCCCTATCCCCCTCTTTTCTTTTCTTTTTTGTTATAATTTTTTAAAGTTCCCTATCATAGTATCAATGTATCATACGATTCATACCTAATAGATTTTGGCAAAAATAAGCTCTAAGCTGAAAAGTTGCTAACAAACATGAAACATCAGGTACTGTGGATTAAAGCAAGTTCAATGAGAAAACATCAGGTACTATGGATAATAGTCTCATATCTTGGTAGGCAGTAAACTGGTTAAAGCAGTGTGAATGCTTGCTGGTGTGAACGATACAACATAATTTTATATGAAGTAAAGCTCCCCATGTGTGCACTACAGATCCACCAAAATAATTTCAATGTCATTATTGTTTCTTTAATATAGATGCATACAATCTTAAATTTCAAAAGATTGACATTAATTCACCTCTATAGTTTTAGTTAAACCAATCATCAATTTTATGTTTCTACAAACTCATGAAGACAATTACTGTGATCATACAGGCTTTCTGATATCATAATCATAACAAACAGAAGTAGTGCAACCCAGCAATGAGCTAAGACATCCCTTTGAAAAGCATTGAACAGATGTTTGTTTTACCACACAATTCAAGCAGTAAAGAGAATTCATCACTGATCCAACACACAGACAAAGTGGCCTTGCAGATAAACTAAAAAGGAAAATCAATATAAAATGAGATTATTGTACCTCATCCCTGTCATAGTTGTCACCACTATGAGGATCAAAAAGAACATCTCCTGTTGCCAACTCAAAGCAAATGCAAGCTAAGGACCAAAGATCTGCAGGTGTTGAATACTTGGAGCCCAGGATAACCTCTGGACATCTATATTGCCTAGTTTGAATATCGCTTGTAAACTGTTTATAAGTCCAACATGCATTCCCAAAATCAACCAATTTGCACTTGAGGTCCACTTCAGCTAAAAGTTTTTTTCTTGTTGAACGGCTACCTCGTTTATGTCTTTGAATTTCTTGGTGCCCATCTATGGCTTCACTGGGTTTGTTTGATACATCTTCTTGGACTTTAGACTCAGTTTGATCATCAACTGAGTCTCCATCTGGCTTTTCATCATGATTAGAATCTTCAGGAGTACATACTTCATTATCTGGCTCAGTTTCCTCAGAAACTTCTTTCCCTGCACATCTTTGAGCTGCTCTCTTAGCCTTTCTCCGAATTTTCTTCTTCTGGTTCTTGGTCAGATCACCATTCGAACTCTTGGCGTCCTTCGAAGACCCAGTCTCTGAGACAATCTTGGTTTTGCTGGATGGCAGAATGAGAGGTGCACCGGACTTCTTTGGATCTTTGGCTGGATCAATCATCGATAGAAGTAAAATATTTTCTGGCTTCAAGTCCGTGTGTATGATTGAGAGCTGGCGATGCAGATAATCCAGGCCAACTAAAATGTGAACACAAATTTCTTTAACCTTGTGAAGAGGAACCCCTCGATAGTCTGAATACTTAATAAGGGTCAAAAGATTATCACCCAAGTACTCAAAAACCATGCAAACGTGCTGTCCATTAGGTCCTGAATGCTTAAAGTTATCCAATAACTTCACAACACACTTTTTGTCATCTGAGTCTCCTTCAGCAATCTGCTTTAGTATTGTAATTTCATCCATTGCTGCTTCAGTATAATGTTGGGCACTCTTTTGCACTTTCAAGGCCACATATTTCTATCCCCCACCAAAAACAGAAGAAATTAGCCCATAAGATAATGCACGATCGCATGAAGTCCAAGAAGTGAAACTCAGTAAAAATATTAAAACTCTCCACATCACCCCCATACCAGATTTTATTTACTCTCATCAGAAACATTGTAGACAAACAAAAAAGAATAAAAACAACAGGATATTTAGTTCGTACTGAAACCAGTAAATCCAATTGTTTTTCCAATTATTGTCCCTTCTTTGAGTTGGAACAGACGAAGAGTACTTGTGATTGAAATAAAGATAAGATGAATAAACAGTACATTATGCTTCCTATACATCTTCTTTTTTAACACATTTTATCCCAACCTTTCAATACTAGTGGAGTAATAAAACCACCTCCAGCAGATATCTATACAAACAGACAAATACACGTATACACATCCATCCATATATGAATTAAAGAAAAGAAAAACAGATTTTAAAAAGCATGTAAAGTGTAAAAAAAACAAAACTTACGGATTTTTGAGTGTCCCAAGCTAGCCATACAGTGGAGAAATGGCCCCAACCGAGCTTGCTCTGAACTATGTAGCGTCCGTGCTTAAATGTATCTCCGATTCGGACAGCGTGATAGCCTCCCCGCCTGTAGTCCTCAGTCCCTTCGTCCTCCGATGTATAGTCGCTCGTCTCACTCTGATCGTCGCCGCGCCGGTCATCGGTCTCCGCCATCTACCACCGATTAGACAGCTCGGAGCTCCAGCAACGATCCGAGAATGAATCAGCTTCCCTATTCAAATCTTGCACACTGTGAAAAAAGGGAGAGAGAGAAAGAGGGAGGGGGGAATTAGGGTTTTCTAAATTTGATTTGAGTGGAGGAAGAGAACAACTTGTTTATTACTGATAGATACCGCTGTACAATAAGCAGGGAGTGTTTTAACTGTTTTTATTTTTTTATTTTTTTTCCGTAAAATTAAATACTCCTCCTAACTTAAATAAATTATTAAAAAAAAAAAAAAATCTCTCTCATCGATGGCTTTGCCGGGAAACTGAGGAAAAGGATAATGTGGCTTAAAAGGGACCACCCTATCAGCCGTGATTTCGTTGTTTTTACTCTTTTTTTAATTAAAAAAAGGAGAAATAGCATTTTGATCTTGAATTGTTTGACTTTTAGAAATTTAATCTATCTAAGTTAATTTAAATAAATTTAGCACATTAATTGTTCAAATTGTTACACTTTTAGTCTCTAATGTTATGTAATTGTCAAACTCTATTACATATGTGGTTATTTTTATTATTTAGAATTAATATTCACTATTAAAAATAATGTTCTCATTGAGACTTGAGAGAGTGAAACTTTAACCTTGATTCTAAATGACAAAATTAACCTTATAAAAAAGAGTTTATTGACGGTATTTGATAATTATATATCAACATGGACTAAAAATGTAACATAATAAATAATTAAAGGATTAAATCTGTTCAAATCAATTAATATGGGCCAAATTTCTAAAAGTGCAACAATTCAGGAGGTTAAAAGGTTGTTTTCCCTTAAAAAGTTAATAGTGTCTGATTCTTTTGAAAGCAAAATATGATAACTATTATTAAAATGACGAAGCTAGTAATGAAAGAATACAAATAGAGGGATCAGAGTTCCAAGACTAAGAGCTAGCAGCACTGAGTAGGATATGAGCTAACATGTTCGCTGATCTCTTGATTAAGCGACAAATTAAAAGATGAAAAAATGACATAATGTTTAAAAAGTGAGTAACAATGTAGCCAGCTGTGTGGGATAGATCTCTTCGATTTTGTGGTAATGTGGCTACTGTTGTTGCACAGTTCGACTCCACTTTTACTGAGTTAGTCCCACGATCTTTTAATAAATAAATAAATAAATAAAAAGAGCTTCTTTGCAAGCCATGATCTCCGCCATACGAGGATCAACAACTCCAGTCAGTCTTCCATTTTTGGCTGCCACGAAAGAACCCGAGTTGGATAGGAGGACCGTAGTCTCTAAAACTTCATCTTTAGTTGGCGTGGACATCAAATAATTCTGCATCCAAGCACTGGTTGTGGATTCATTCAGCGTCGCCCGCCAATTAGAGGGCCAGATTCCAGAGATTACTCTGCACAACAATAATATAATGCGTAGACGACGTCTGTTTCCTCTGATCTTCATCACCACAACCAAGACACGTGTGCCTAATTAATTTCAGTGTAATTTTTTTGAAAGCAATTTCAGTGTAGTTAAGTTTCTAATTTTTTTCAAAAAAGGAAATAAAAAAATTTCCCGATTCAATCAACAATGTGGACCCTTGTTTCCTTACTGAATAAAACCATACGGTTACTAGTACAAAATTGAACATAAAAGATTGACCATAAACCACCATTTTTGAAAGAATGGTTGTTTAATCTTAGCCCAAAAATTCGTGGAGACAATTTTGTAAATAAGTGATCAATAATCTGCCACCGTTATTAGCTATAATGGTTGCCCATTTTATTTTTTATGTATTTAAAAAAAAATTAATTTATAATAGGCAATCGTTTCTAATAGAAATGCTTGCTTTAAAATAGAAATTGTTTTATAATAGGTAACCATTTCTATTGCCTAATATTAACCCTAGATCCACTACATAGATCAGATCGAAATCGCATCTCAGATCTAAAATCTTCATCGATCCACCGTCTGCTTCGATCGTCTCACAGCCGTCGTTGCCACCCACCGCCACTGCGCACAGCACCATCCACTGTCGCACGTAATCCAAGGTCAAGTCATTCACTCTCTCGTTAGCAACTCGCCAACCTGCAATCAATTTTTCGTGGTTGGGATTCATGGTCACTCAAGGTCAAGTCATCACCTGCAAAGGTACTGTTCATTCTCGATTATGCGCATATCTGATATGTAGGTTTATGCGGGGAACTGAACTCGCACGGATTTGCTACCAGTTGATGTAATTCTGTAAGGTTGAGAGGGATCTGATCGTGGCTAATGTGATTTTTTTTGGTTTGTTTGTGAATGTGAAGCTGCGGTGGCCTGGGAACCCAACAAGCACTTGGTGATCGAGGACGTGCGGGTGGCTCCGCCGCAAGCCGGGGAAGCCCGAGTTAAGGTTTTCTTCACTACTCTCTGCCACACCGATGCTTATACGTGGAGCGGCAAGGTATTTTCCTCTCTTTTGCCTGTTCTCATTCGTGTGTGTATGATAAAAAATGGTGTCTGATGGAATTTTGTGATGTGTTCGGTTTTCTACTATTTATTTGAGCAAGGGAAAGATGTACAAGGAGCAAGGGAGCTGGGATGTGGGAGCTGTCTGGCATCCCGATTGCTTCTGATGCCATGCTTGCAACAACATTCCCATTTCTGACTACGAGGTTTGGTGTTCCTGAACTCACATCGATATGATTCCTTCATTCATCATTACAATGATTCTCCATATGTTTTGCAAATAGGTTCCGCAAAATGTTTTATCCTTAAAGAAGAGTTTAATCCTAAAATAAGATATTAATTTTGTGTATTGCAAAGTACATATAGACAGTTGAAAAAGGAAGTTATTTGATGTTTCAACACTTGCAGGTAATCCCAACATGATTATGACACTTGCTGGAAACAAGGCTGATCTGGAAATAAGAGGGTCGTGACAGCAGATGTATGATATATATATATATATATATATATATATATATATATATATATATATATATAATTGGTGGATTTCTGCCACATATTTAACCCATAAATTATTGTATAAACTCCTGCTCTACTCGTGTCTGTGCATGTGTTTATGTGTGCTAAGTATTGAACAATATAATATTAACATTTTCTCTGGAATTTCAGCCTTGGCTTCCGTTTATGGAACCCAAACAAAGAAAAGGAGAAACCCTTAAAAGATGCTGCTTTAGAGTAAAATGTTTTGTAGGTACGACCATTGTTTATTAACAACTAGTACCACAATGTTAGTGTAACAATTACTTGCTTCCTAAAATGATGTTTAATTTGCAGATACTGATGTTGGTTTCAACCCAACGCGAGCAAAGGTATGAATTGTGCCTAAAATTTCCATTCAGTTCACATTCAATTCCTTATGAATGTCTTAATAGCTCTAAGATCTTTGATATATCCATGGTGGCTCTATCATTCATAGACTAGCCTGCATATTGTCTTTATTTGTTTGGTTCCCTTTTTATTTTGAAGATAAATTCCCTTTTTTCTAGGAGCTTCAATCAACTTGAATATAAATTAAATTTGTGTTCCACTTAAAATTTAATAGCCTTTAGGTGGTGGTGTTAATAGTTATGAATTGCAGGAACTTGTTTAATTTACTCAAAAATCTAACATGATTGGTCTCTTTAGTCTTTACTAAATATTTGTGGTATTTTTTCATCCAGCAGAGTCAGATCCTGGTGTGTTATTCTAAGTACAGTCTCTCTCCTTGATGTTAACTGCACTATAAAAAAAAGTCATATCTTTCAATGAATTCAGATAATACTACTGTGATAGGGAATTATGTATCAAATGGATGAAACAGATCCTGGTAACAAAATTAGATCGAGATGCTCACAAGGGTGTTGTATAACAATGAAAAGATCTGGTGTCTGGTGAAATATTGAAAATGATAATTTATCTGGAAAGTGCTCACATATTTGCATATTTATAAAGTTCTAGTATTGGCACTTATATTGTTTTGGTTTCAAATTGTTCCAATAATGCAAATGCAATTAATATGGATCAGATTTTTCATGTTACGTATTTCTTCTTGCTTTTACTGATCTCTGAATTTCATTACCTAGACAAATTTAACGCATTACAGTCCTTTTACCATTGCACTAAAGAACTTTGGCAACAAAACCCCTGAGAAAGGTACTAGATTTTCATCTATCAATTGTTCAACTTTTTTTTAAAAAAAATAAACAGTAAATTGTTTTGTTGCTCATGGTGGTGGACAATACTTCTCTGTAGATGTACATGTTGAAATTTACAAGGATGGAAAAGAGTTGTCTTTTTCACAACTAGAAAAGCAATATCATGAATGGATCTCTAAGATGCATGAAAAATATGATTTGGAAATTGAATCAGGCAACAATCAACCTACCCTTGTACTAGGCTATGAGAACAGAAAAGATCTTGGTACATCATCTGATTGTAAGCATTGCATACATATTTAGTGGAGTTTATTCCTTATACCATTTGTCTTGTTTTGTATCACACAACTGCTTGACATAGATTCTCACATTAAAATCATTTATTAACTCGAGGATAATAAACTCGATGTTGGTGGTAGGTTCAGAACTTAATGCCACCAACATCGCCTTCACATCCTTCAAGGATAATAAACTCTAGAGTGGCAAAAGTGTTTGTTCGGTAAAAGCCTGCACATGCTCCCTTCAGAATTTTGATTCTCTGTCCTGATTTCTAGGTAATTCCTTTCCTCTTGAGAGTTTTATGAACCCTATACGAAAACAACATTAGGGTTCATAAAACTCTCAAGAGGAAAGGAATTACCTGAAAATCAGGACAGAGAATCAAAATTCTGAAGGGAGCATGTGCAGGCTTTCACCGGGCAAACACTTTTTCCACTCTAGAGTTTATTATCCTTGGGATGTGAAGGCGATGTTGGTGGCATTTAAGTTCTGAACCTATCACCAACATCGAGTTTATTATCCTCGAGTTAATAAATGATTTTAATGTGAGAATCTATGTCAAGCAGTTGTGTGATACAAAACAAGACAAATGGTATAAGGAATAAACTCCACTAAATATGTATGCAATGCTTACCATCAGATGATGTACCAAGATCTTTTCTGTTCTCATAGCCTAGTACAAGGGTAGGTTGATCGTCGCCTGATTCAATTTCCAAATCATATTTTTCATGCATCTTAGAGATCCATTCATGATATTGTTTTTCTAGTTGTGAAAAAGACAACTCTTTTCCATCCTTGTAAATTTCAACATGTACATCTACAGAGAAGTATTGTCCACCACAATGAGCAACAAAACAATTTACTGTTTATTTAAATAAATAAATAAATAAAAAGTTGAACAATGGATAGATGAAAATCTAGTACCTTTCTCAAGGGTTTTGTTGCCAAAGTTCTTTAGTGCAATGGTAAAAGGACTGTGATGCTTTAAATTTGTCTAGGTAATGAAATTTAGAGATCAGTAAAAGCGAGAAGAAATACGTAACATGAAAAATCTAATCCATATTAATTGCATTTGCATTATTGGAACAAATTGAAACCAAAACAATAAGTGTCAATACTAGAACTTTATAAATCTGCAAATATGTGAGCACTTTCCAGATAAATTATCATTTTCAATATTTCACTAGACACCAGATCTTTTCATTGTTATACAACACCCTTGTGAGCATCTCGATCTAATTTTGTTACCAGGATCTGTTTCATCCATTTGATACATAATTCCCTATCACAGTAGTATTATCTGAATTCATTGAAAGATATGACTTTTTTTTTATAGTGCAGTTAACATCAAGGAGAGAGACTGTACTTAGAATAACACACCAGGATCTGACTCTGCTGGATGAAAAAATACCACAAATATTTAGTAAAGACTAAAGAGACCAATCATGTTAGATTTTTGAGTAAATTAAACAAGTTCCTGCAATTCATAACTATTAACACCACCACCTAAAGGCTATTAAATTTTAAGTGGAACACAAATTTAATTTATATTCAAGTTGATTGAAGCTCCTAGAAAAAAGGGAATTTATCTTCAAAATAAAAAGGGAACCAAACAAATAAAGACAATATGCAGGCTAGTCTATGAATGATAGAGCCACCATGGATATATCAAAGATCTTAGAGCTATTAAGACATTCATAAGGAATTGAATGTGAACTGAATGGAAATTTTAGGCACAATTCATACCTTTGCTCGCGTTGGGTTGAAACCAACATCAGTATCTGCAAATTAAACATAATTTTAGGAAGCAAGTAATTGTTACACTAACATTGTGGTATTAGTTGTTAATAAACAATGGTCATACCTACAAAACATTTTACTCTAAAGCAGCATCTTTTAAGGGTTTCTCCTTTTCTTTGTTTGGGTTCCATAAACGGAAGCCAAGGCTGAAATTCCAGAGAAAATGTTAATATTATATTGTTCAATACTTAGCACACATAAACACATGCACAGACACGAGTAGAGCAGGAGTTTATACAATAATTTATGGGTTAAATATGTGGCAAAAATCCACCAATTATATATATATATATATATATATATATATATATATATATATATATATATATATATATATATATCATACATCTGCTGTCACGACCCTCTTATTTCCAGATCAGCCTTGTTTCCAGCAAGTGCCATAATCATGTTGGGATTACCTGCAAGTGTTGAAACATCAAATAACTTCCTTTTTCAATTGTCTATATGTACTTTGCAATACACAAAATTAATATCTTATTTTAGGATTAAACTCTTCTTTAAGGATAAAACATTTTGCGGAACCTATTTGCAAAACATGTGGAGAATCATTGTAATGATGAATGAGGGAATCATATCGATGTGAGTTCAGGAACACCAAACCTCGTAGTCAGAAATGGGAATGTGTGGCAGAGAGTAGTGAAGAAAACCTTAACTCAGACTTCCCCGGCTTGCGGCGGAGCCACCTGCATGTCCTCGATCACCAAGGGCTTGTTCGGTTCCCAGGCCACCGCAGCTTCACAATCACAAACAAACCAAAAAAAAAAATCACATTAGCCACGATCAGATCCCTCTCAACCTTACAGAATTACATCAACTAGTAGCAAATCCGTGCGAGTTCAGTTCCCCACATAAGCCTACATATCAGATATGCGCATAATCGAGAATGAACAGTACCTTTGCAGGTGATGACTTGACCCTGAGTGACCATGAATCACAACCACGAAAAATTGATTGTAGGCTGGCGAGTTGCTAACGAGAGAGTGAATGACTTGACCTTGGATGGCGTGCGACGGTGGATGGTGCTGTGTGGAGTGGCGTCGCCGCTGGCCAACGGCATGGTGGCGGTGGGTGGCAACGGCGGCGGTGAGACGATCGAAGCAAACGGTGGATCGATGATGATTTTAGATCTGAGATGCGATTTCGATCTGATTTAGGCAGTGGATCTAGCCATCTAGGGTTAATATTAGGCAACCATTTCTATTAGAAATGGTTGCCTATTATAAAGCAATTTCTATTTTAAGGCAACCATTTCTATTAGAAACAGTTGCCTATTATAAATTAATTTTTTTAAAATACATAAAATATACAATGGGCAACCATTACAGCTAACAACGGTGGCAGATTATTGATCACTTATTTCTTAAAATTGCCATCGCGAATTTTTTGGCTAAGATTTAGGCAACCATTCTTTCAAAATGGTGGCCTATGGTCAATCTTCTATGTTCAATTTTGTACTAGCGGAAATCACGGTTGACTGCGCCAGAAAAAAAAAACACTGGAACTAGGCAATTTCCGATCATCCTCTCCATTGGAGAAGGAGACCAGAGGTCATCCTCTCCAATGGAGAAGGCGGCCAGATCTGGTCCTCCAATGGAGAAGGCGATTGGCGACCGACGACTGCTACCAGAGGTCGCCTTCTCTACCAAAGAAGACGGAGAAGGCGATTGGCGACCGACGACTGCTACCAGAGGTCGCCTTCTCTACCAGACAAGACGAGCGGCCGACCGTTTTCTCCACCGGCCTGATATTTTTTTTTTTTTTTATCGTCGTCGAAATTTTTTATTCGTCAAAATTTTAATTGACTTATTATTCCATGTGAATAACTGGTTAATGGGTTTAAATGCCTCAAAATGACAAGTTCAAGTGTTTAATTGAACTTTTTTAAGGTTCAAAAGACTTAATTACCCTTTTGAGTAAAATTTAAAGGTATATTTGATCTTTTTTTTTTTGCCATTAGAGAGAAACAAAAAACTGTGCAATAAAAGGTACAAACTTCTGGCTTAGCAAAACTGAGTTCAAACTTGGAAACAGTACTCGTACGCAAGTCCAAATTATATTCCCTTTCAAACTATGAATGAATATTGTTCAGCTAGTTTCTACAAGATCATTTCATGTCATCAAACTATACCTTTGGAACACGTCCACCAACAACCGATGATAAATAGAGTACAGGTGCCGAATAACACCAGAAGCAAGGCAAAAATGTCCTAAATAAATAGCTCATCCTCGTGATATATGCACACACAACGCACAAAAAAAAAAAAAAAAAAAAAAAAAAAAAAAAAAACTATTATACATGCACTTGTTGAAAAACAAATCAACCTGCAGCAGTAGCGCACTAGGTATAGTGCTTCCAAAGGGAGGGCACTGATGAGGTAACATCTTCATCTTCATCTTCATCTTCATCTGCCTCACCGTAATTATAGATGCACTTGTTGAATAAAAACAAATCAACCTGCAGCAGTAGTGCACAAGATACAACGCATCCGAGGGGCACCAGATGAGGTAGCTTCATCCTCATCCTCATCCTCATCTACCTCACCATTATCATATTCATAATATGAGGAAGCACCTTGGGAAGGGGCGGCTGCCTCTTTTTTGCTACTCACAGAGTTGGTGGACTCCATAAGGCAAGTCAAGTGATAGGCATGACAACAAAAGAATGCAATGATCGATATACTCTGTATGGAGAATGGATCAAAGCATATGCAACACCTTCCACCTCCCCTAGTTTTTGATTTGACCTCCATGGATTTTATGCTAAGAGTTCGGTCAACCAGATTTGAAGCCCTCTGTTCACCCCTTTTGGAGCGAGCTTCGTCTACTTCATCACTCAAGTGAATACCACGCTTTGCTTCTTTGTAGTATTTAATCAAAAGGTTAACACAATCAGCCTGATAGTTTAACCCACAACTCATTAGATATTATGAGCAATTAAAGTTTTTAGGGAAAAATGTGACCTAAAATGCTGTACCTTGAGTATATCATTACAACCGTGCCTAAGCGAAGTTTCTGTCCTGTAGTCTGTGATAATTTTGACCAAGCGATCCCTCAAACTGAAAGTGAAAGAAACAGTGCAATTATATATTAATGCACAATTTGAAAGTTGTATGGTAGATGCTAGCATTAAATATGAAAAAGTAAAAATGTCATGCGTTTGGCAATAGGAATCCCATAAAGCATATCATAAAGAAAATTTAGGTGAATACTCCCATGAATTACTCATCATTTCCAATTTTCTCTTCACCATAGTGAAAAGTTTCACAAATGCAGCCTGAGAGGTGCTTTACTGAATGCAGCAGCATGGTGCACTTTGGATGTGTGGAGTATGAATCTGAGTTTCAATCATCATATTATCGAATGCAGCATGGTGCACTTTGGATATGTGGAGTATGAATCTGAGTTTCAATCATCATATTATCGAATGCAGCATGGTGCACTTACCGAGGTATCTCCAAGCCATTGGGCAGCATATTTACTATATAAAGAGGATCAAGGTTCCCCACAGTGTGCTCTAATAGTACTCCAACCTGTTAGGAAGACACATAGAGACATGTTTCACCAAGAAGGGGTGGATGGGCACACGAAAAGGTAAAGGAAGCAGAAGATAAAGCAAATAAATAACAAGGGTAATGCACCCTGAATTCTCATTTCCATATATTCGCTGAAGTCCCTAGCTTACCATTTCAGCTTTATTAAGACACTGCCTAATCAATTCATCCCATAGTTCATCATCATGCTGATCATTCACAAATTCTATAGCCTGTAAAGTCAGAAGATTTGACTGAGTACATGAAATTACGAACAAAGAGACAGATAGTGAAATTGTGGGGTACCTCTTCAATATCTCCTAGCTTATTTATGATAACTGCAAGGGCTTGCTTAGAATTCCCCATCCTTCCTAGTATGAAAACTTGTTCTTTCAATAGATTTCTTTTGACACAGATATCATACGCCTGAAGTATACACAAGCTTTTGTTCAGATTAATAAGTAAGCAAAAGTTGTGATTTATCAACATATTGTAATCTTGCAAACCTTCTCAAGTGTATAATGCTGGCTACTCCTAAGAAAAGGAAGCAGCATCTTTGGATCATACTCAGCATAAAGTTCGACCTATTAAGTATTGCATAATTATGTAAGAGAGGGAATTAGGAGATAGCATTGGGAAACCTCATTATTAACAAAAATTTCAAACGAGCAGTGGCAAGGAAGTTTTAAAGTACTAAATCATGAAAGAACATCAATAAACTAGAAAAAAAAAAAAAAAAAAAAACTAAAAAACTAAAAAACTAAAAAAAACTTATGTGAATTCAAATATTCAACAGATAACCATCAGGCCTAGACACCCCTTTCAAAACAAGTTGTGTGATGGCACCATCAATTTGTAATTCTTAATTGACAAAAGGATTTATTGCAAGCCCCCTTTGTTTATTAGCAATGTTCTTTTATCCCCCACAACACCCTGTGTGTGTCATTGAATTCTTCCCATTCTCTCAAAACTTGTTTCTGTTAACCAAAAATAATCATTTTTTGACATGATAAAGACACACACATTAGCAGAAATGAAGTGAAAGCTCTGGAGTCTGGTCACAACAAAATTGCTCAATAGATTTGTTTTAGGTTTGATATACGGAGTAACTTTCTAGATTGAGTGACCACACTTCATACTAAGAATATGTCAAGGGCAATTAATGACAAGAACTTAGGGAGTACTGATCAAGCTAAACATAACTTTCTAGATTGAGTGACCACACTTCATACTAAGAATATGTCAAGGGCAATTAATGACAAGAACTTAGGGAGTACTGATCAAGCTAAACATGCTATTAAATGCTGCTTTACTTGCATATCCTACAAATACATAAATACAAAAGTGAAAGAAGAAATGTGAACTGCAAATCACAATTACTCTGTGAAAATTGTTGATCTCTCAAAAACAATATTATATGTTATCTGAACATGCATGCATACTCAATCATAAATATAGACAAATGTCAACGAAAGTAAAGAGAATAAGAGAAAGGGAAATGGGAATCATTCAATAAAGCGAGATCGTCTTACTACAAACCTGGAGATCATGGTAATCCCTCCCAGCATGAGGATTAGTTTCAAAGAGTGCATGAAGATACAGATGCATCAAGTATCGAGAATCACCCTCATTTCCTGCGGCCATGAGTTGTGACACAACTTCTGGAGGCGGTATTAAGTCTCTGTGTTGAAGCAACAACGGTATTGCGCGCTTACAGTCTATCATCATAAGTTGGGCAACCTAAAAATTGATGGAAATTGATGCAGGACATATAGTTAGAACAATTCAAAAAGTGCTCAACAATACTTTTAGGCTACTTGACACTATAACTCCAGTAACATATTGATTTTGCTCTTGATTTGTACAATAACAACGGTTACAGTTTGTATATGCACCTAACATGCATGTACATGGAACACCTCACTAACTAGTAAAAGGACTTCCAGGTGATCTAGGAGACAAGACAACTGAACTTTATATTCTGTTCCTCAAATAATTATTTGTAATTATTAGTAATGCATGGAAATCACAGTTCATATAAAGGAAAAATTTATCCATTATACAATTTTACCTTTTCAGAAACAGCATCATGCAAATTATGCTTTTCAATGAAGTCAAATAGATCAGGCTTCATAAGCTGGAAAGCGAGAATAAATGAATTAGAAAATTTCAAAAAGAAATAACTGCCATAAAATACAATCAACTGCATCGCTTGTAAATCAAATGCACATAGCACAATAACGGTAATGATTACTTCCACTTACATCAGCATACAGTGAAAAGGCCTTATCATGATGTCCATCAATAACATATAATTCTGCCAGTGCCTTACATGCCAAAGTAGCAAAATAATCAATGTTAGTGAAGGAGATATAGAATGTAGCTGATGGACAAGCAAATTTGCTAACCTCCTTGAGTGGACCAGTCATTGATGATGTGCTAAGCTGAGGTTCTATAGCTGATATAACTGGGGATGTAGAATAAATGCCAGGAGGCCAAGATTTGACAGTTGCTAAGAGATCCTTGTGGAAAGAGGGGTTTGTTGCCAATGCCACAAGAGCTACCTACGCACAACAGGCATGTGAGGATTAATTTCAGGCCCTTTAAGCATGTAAAATCATTCATACCAAGAACAAGATAATTTCAGGCTATATTGTGAACTACAGACCTCATAAGCAGTATCACGCAACCTTGGATTTTCTATTGGGATATAAGGAACCAATACAGGAAGCTGACGAAGATGGGCAAAATGGAAAACCCATCTGAAAAAGTAACCATGCAGAAGTTAATAATGGCCCAACTAAAGAAAGGGTTTTTTCATTTTAAAGATTCTCAATACCTTTCCCATGCAGAGGCAGATCCTCTCAACAGTTTTGGACACAGAGATGCAGCTTCAGCATACTGCCTTTCCACAATCAGATGGTCAAGATACCTTGAACCTACCTGATTCAAGTTGATTAATGGGGTGAAAATTATCAGTACTACAATAAATTTTTGACAACATTTCACCACCAGATAACGAACTAAAGCCTGATCCTGTATTCACTGAACACAACTTTCAAAAGCCTAAATATATAGAAATCCAACATTGACACTACATTTCAAGTGCTTGCACTAGATTACTAAATTATTTCAAGAAAACTGGATTTAAATTAACACTATAGAAATCAGAAAATAAGAAGTATGGGATGGCAAAAGAGAAAATGGAAGGGAAAAAAAGATGAGTTGCAATGGTTTGTGATGTTTCTTGTCATTGATACATCCATTGATGAAATAAGAACTCGACATTCATGGTCTACCTCATCAACTAGCTCACTCCGACCTTTACTAGCTTCAACAGCTTCTAAGGCTTTCTCATGACATCCATGCTGAAGAAGCCAATTAATGTGGTCTTCTGCATCCCTAACAACCAACCACAAAATAGCAAATTGAACTTTGGGTTATACACTTATTACAGAAAAACAGAGAGCAAGATAAGGAATGTAAATCATATAAATAAAGAAATCAAGCATCTGACAACTGTATATTAAATTCATCAAATGATTCACCAATAAATCAAATGGGAACTAACTATCACTAACCTAGGCTTTGCAATAACTACATCCTTTGGGGACACAATATAGTACAAAGGTTCATCACCAGCAGCCCACTGTCCACCTGCATAGCTGCTACCTGCATGCATTGCAAGTAGAACATAAAAGCAAATAAACAAGGAGCCTCATTTCAATTTTATTGTAAATTCTATTGAAGTTTCTTCTGGGCCTTAAATTTTTTTGCACATGTAGTTTTTACCAGAGAATGGAGCATGTGCAAGGGAATAGTCTTTGGCTTTATAATGCTCAAAACCATGGACAGGAAGTGCATCAGTTGCAAGCTCATCATTAGTCCATGTTACAACTCGGACCTCTGGTCTCTGAGCATTTCCCTGTGAGAACAAGATCACAAAAATCATTTTTACATACATCTAAAATGGATCAAGAATCAAGAAATAAAATCAACCTCGTGAGAAGAAAAGTTATCAACAATATTTGATTCAACAAAAAGAATGAAGAAACTTCAAGTTCAAGAGGTTGTCGTGGGAAGGTTCCTGAAAGAAAAATGACTCTCTTTGAGAGTACACACACGCATACCTGACGTGAGGGAACGGTACTACTGAAATCCTTCTCTTTCTCTTCTCCCGTAATATAAGCAAGAATAACCAAAGTATCACCAAATGGAGCAATTCCTGAAATGAAATAGCTGGTTTGAAAAGATGCCACAATATCCACCTGGTTCAGGCTGGACATTGGGATATGTTTGTATGTGCCATTCACACCCTTGTTCTGATTTGTTCTTATTACTGCAATTTTCACAGAAGTTCCCCACCCAATCACCAAAAGCGTATCATCCTGAATGCGATTGAAAAGCAATGAGCACCAGCATGCATAGCAAGCAACATTTATGTCAAATACTAAAACATAATGCCAAATAAAGAGGATTCTATTTATAGGCATGGACGCATGGTTTTACAGATGCATTCAGACATGTCTTAATATCTCAAGATTTAAGAAACTCTTTATGAATGCTTATAAAGAGTGTAAGAGACTCCTTATAAATGAGAGTGTGAAAAGTATGGCCCACCAAAATCCAAATAGATGAATTTCAGAACTAACCTGCCAAACTAAGTGAGGTAGCAGATGCTCAGGGTGTGGACTTCCACGAGGTCTTTCAATAAAAGTTATGCGCTGGTCATTGGCAGCATCATAAACTTTCACTCCTGCATCATTAGCCCATGCAACGAGACTAGCTCTCCACTTCACAGCATGAATTGGACCTTCACCAGAATGCAGAACCTAGAAATGAGAAAAGCAAAACTATGGATCAAAAGTTCAAATATGCATCCATCTTTCAAATATAATGCAAGAGTAGTTAATTCTGAAAACTTAAGGGAAACCTGATCACGGTAGCCTATCCACTTCTTGACATTAAAATACAATTGACCAGCTAAACCACCAGTGACAAATCTTCTGGATGATTTGTTAGCATAACCTGGGTCTAGAGCAATAGCCTTCATGGGGCGGTGATACTCAAATTTCATTCTTTCTTCAGTAAAAAGACCATTAATTACAACTGACCCATCATCTGAACAGCTCCCAATGTATTCACCTTCCACATCAAAGCAAAGGTCATTCACTGCAGCAGTGTGAACATGAAATTCCTTTACCTGTAGAAGAAGTAAGAGCTTTATATATTATATATCCCAATAAGAGGCAACTCCACTCTACCAACTTTTTCTTGCATAATCAGAAAATATCATTTATCTACTAGAATGATTTATAAGTAGAAGCAACGCTGCTAAATCTTTATTCCTGCAACGCCAATTCAAAGTCAGTTTTATTAATCAAACTCTAGTATTAAAGATCATGAGAAACTCCGCCTAAGAGAACCATAATAAAAGTCAACATTTTCCCCAACGTCTTAGTGTTTCCTTATGTTAATCTCTAGCTTTTTACACTAGCAAAGAGAATCCATACAATGACCAGTGACTCTCATCTTGTGTTTCGTAAAGGCAAAAGGCCCATAAGATCTCCTTACCTATTACTAAATCTAAATGATGAACTACCTAAGCTGAACCAGTGCATGAAGCACTAACTTCTCAACCACTATGTTACAGTAACTATTATTATAAATAGAAATTCATAGGTCCATATGCTTCTCAAAAGATCTTTTACAAGTTCACAAAATGCCACTTTAAAGCACCTTTGTTACTTTAAATAATACGGAGTAATAAACAATTTCCCAGAAACAGTTTATTTTGGCACCAATTAACCACCGTAAAAACTATGCTAACTAGGATAGCATTATACTAGCATGGACATTCTAAAAAATTAATAGAAGTGGGGAGATAAAGATTTTCTAAGCGCAATTCGATCTCCGATCACCCTTGCTCCAGCTAAAGGACAAGCAATTTGAATCAGTTATAGTAAAAAGTATTTTAAAATGAAAAATCAGCTGCAAATACGATAGAACGGAATTCGAATTCGAATTCAATCAAAACGAAAAAAATTAAATTAAACGGAGACCTGATTGCCTAGGAAATCAAGAATGTGAACCGAGCCACCGTGAGTGCCGAGGGCGATCATCCGTTCAGCAACGGCGATGCAGGAGGCGGCGTCGTTGGAGAGGAGCGACGGCACACTGCCGCCCATTCTCTGATACTTGAGTCTCGGCTCATCCTCTTCTTCTTCCTCCTCGTCCTCTTCGGACTCTTCTTCTTCCCTCTCGTCGTCACCGTCGACTCCGTTTTCCGACTTCGAATACATTCCAATCCTCTCAGAAAGGTGCGCTAATCGATAGAGAGATAGATACAGAGAAGTAGAGATCTGCGGAAAGTGGTTCGACTGCGTTGCCCCGCGTGGTGTGGGGGGTTGAAGAGCGTGGAGAAGAAAGCTGTTGGAGGCCCGTTTAAACAGTTGTTTATTTAGCGTTATTTATTTGGAACGAAACAATAAAAGTGGTGACATAATCACTTGCCACCTGTCAGTTCAATTGGGTGATTGTTTTTTAATTAATTCGCATTTCATTATTAGTTAATTGCTTGTTATCTTCTTACCGGTAATTTTTTATACTATTATTGGAGTGTATGGCTGTATTAAACTATTGGTTTGAGGGATTGGGATTGAGAATTTGAGAGTTAACTAAATTAATATGGAGCATTGGATTTTAGTGATTATTATTTTAGGAGCACATTTGTGTGAGGATTCGTGACAGGTCGGTCAGGTTAATATTGAAATATAATACTTATACTGAACAATGTAATACTAATAAGTAATAAAGTCTTTGTTACTTATAAGGGAAAGTGTAATACTTTTTGAGAAAAAGCATCAAAAGTATTATACTTTCACTTATAAGTAATGTCAACAAGTGTTCATTACTTAGGAAAATGTAATACTTTTAAATCAAAATGTAAAAGTATTTGTTGTGTCGGTAGTGGTGGTGGTGGGGAGGCGTGGTAGTGGTAACTTAGTGGTGGTGGTGGTGGTGTGGTAATGGTGGTGGTGGTAATAATAATAATAATAATAATAATAATAATAATAATAATAACAACAACAACAACAACAACAACAGTGCGTGTTGGTGTTGCATGTTAATTACTTAATTTTCAATAGGTAGTTTGTAACACCTCGGAAATTCGTTCCCTAAAACTCGAATTAATTCCTTAATTAATTCCTTATGGCTTTACAATTCTTATCCTAGTTTCCCTTTGAATTTAGTTGAAGGACCTAGTTGACCAAATTCTATCCTTTTAATTTGGTCAATGAGTTGTACCTTGGCCTTTAGCCCTTGTACCCTAGACTTTGTCTTTCTCCTAACTAGTTTTGGAGGAAGGGGCCCTTTTGGTCATTTCACACAATGCTAGCATTAAAACCCTACCCCAACCAAGGAATCCAAATCATTTTTCAAGATTTTCTTTCTCTCTACATCTCTTTCTTGCCCCCTACTCCTTCTCTCTAGGAAATCCTAGAGTTCATCTTCACAAGTTCTTCAAGAAATCCTAAGCCAAGATTCCAACTTTCCAACACTACAAGGCTAGCAATGGTAAGATCTATCCTTCCCTACCTTTTCCTTACAATATTCCTTCATCTTTCCTCTAAATCTTTCTTCTACCTTGTGGGTTTGGGGAGTTTGTAGAAGATCTAGTGGTGGGTGAAGTGCTAGGTTGATCTAGAGGAGCTTTGGTCTTACTTTGAGTTGAAGAAGGTGTTCTTGGTCTACAAGAGGTAACCCATGCTACACAAAATCTATTTTCACTTGCTAATACTGAATATTGGCTTCTATGTGATATTCTTGATGTGTTTGAGTGATTTGATGCATGATCTTGTGATAATGCAGGTTTAGAGCTTGTATTTAGGGTTCTTGTATGCTATTGTATGAGCTATTCATGGGTTCAAATCATATCTTTGTTGTATGGAATATTTGGGGTCATTTGGACTTGAACTTGACCTTAAAAGTGGAAATCTGGGAAGTGCTGATTTTTGTGCAGGGGTTTTCCCCGTGGGAGGAACCACGGGGGGGGGGGGGGGGAGGAGTCCCACCCTTGGCCCCACCCGCGGGGTACATGTTTGAGAAATGGTGGGTGGTTGTCCGCCCACCGATTCGCCCACTTGTGTGTGATTCTTTGGCCTCCATTTGATTGGATTGTTGAGTTTTTGTGTGTCTCCTTGATGTTACTTATGTCTAGAGCGATGTCTTAAGTGTACATGTTAGGACTTGGTGTCTTGAATCGTGCTTGTGGTCCAACTTTGTGATTCGTTGGATTATTGTGAGTCTTTGAGGTTCATTGGAACCATTTTGGTTTACCCGTTTGATATGCATGCTAGTTTTGGTGTCATTAATGCTAGTATGTATTGTTTGTCCCTTTCTATTGAGGATTGGCAACTCGTGTTGCCAACCATGTTGACATCGGATTGAGGTCCATTGTTGTTGTTGAGTATCGTTTCATGTCCTTCATTGAAACCCCTTGCTTGGATCCCTTGATGTGATCCTGTGTGTATGATTATTTCTTGATTAAGCTGTTGTTGAGCTTATCCCTTGTTCTACACACTTTGTGTGGAATCTATGTGTTGTTGTATCTCTAGATTCCGTGTGTATTGACTCTTGTTGAGATGATGGATTGATGTGATGAGATGATTGAGCTGGTAAAGTGAACAGTGTGGGGACTTATGTGTGAACGAATCCGGTAGTGGGTCTAAAGCTCCAGATTGCCGTTTGGTTACTTGTGACTTGTGGGCAACATGGGAAACTCATTACAGTTGCCATAAATGGTAGCTAACTCGTTGAGCTTGAATCTCAATAGGGGGTGTATACACTTAAAGTTGCTAGCTCTGTTTCCATTGGGTTGCAGTCCTTGTCATTGCGATGACACTATAGCATGTGATCTGGGTCGTTGCGATGACTACGTTATACATGATTGATGATTGGAGCCCTCCACACTGATCCACTATGAATCGAGCCGTGGTGCTGACTCCACGGTATATGACTTGGAGTGATTGTGTCCTATGAGGACTTGGAACTCGTTGTGGTGTGAATCTTGTCTTCCATTGCTTAAGAGCATGTCTTTTGTGAATCCTTCATTGTGGGTCGTACGTTGTACCTTATTGTTGAGCTTGTTGCTTGTGGTTCTATTGTCTTATTGAGTATGTTGGCCTTTGTTCTTTGTTGTGAGTGATTGATAAGTTTATTGATGTTTCCTCTCTCTCGGCTTTGAAATGATATCTACTGTATTCCCAGTTTCAAATGGTTTTGATTATATCTATGTATATTATGATACTTAACGTGTGTTGGTGGGTTACCAGCATTATTCGCTGACCGGGTGTTATCCCCTTATCTTTTACAGGTTGAGTAGCTTTGGAGAGCGCGCTAGCGGCCTGTAGGTCTAATGGAGAGCGCGCTAGCGGCCTGTAGATATATTAGATCTCTTCCTTTAATAGTTGTTGAGGCCTGTGAGCCTAAGTAGTTATCTGTTAGACTGCTTAGTAGTTAGTATTTGCTTGTGCACCTAATGTTGTGTAGGTATGGCATAACATCTCCCGGATTTGTGTAGTTAGCTTCTGCTTTGCTTATTCTTAATGATTAGACTTTACCTCTTTCATAAGCTTTATTTGCTTTTAAAAATTGTTGAAATTCGGGGGTGTTACATAGTTAGACTTTGAAAAACATAAAAGAGAAGATATAAAAAATTGTAGAAAAAATAAAAAGAAAGTAGCTAGTGGCCTACAACCTTAATTATAATCATATATGATCATGAATAATTAAAGTTTATCAATTTTATTGCCTACTATTTGTTACATTTCACCTTTCACTTGATTGGTATAAAAAACCTAACAATTTTCAGTAGATAACAATTCGTTTTAATATCCATATCATACAAAAAGTGGTAACACTAATTTGAACTTTGAATGACTAATTTTCGATCCTGATTCCCTAAAAGAAAAAGGAGGGTTGGGGGGGGGGGGGAGCATGTATGTAATACTTAATGATTAAAAAAAAAAACAAATTAAAGTAACAAATTTAAAATGTCTATAGATAGATTTAGTTAGTTATAATTTATCAATAAGTGTCTGTTGCGTGCAACGTGCGTGAATATATAAATGCATATACTTGTATATAAAAGGAATAAAAGGTATATCAAATAACACATTTGTGATTTGACATTTAGCCATTCTTTGGTACTTGTAATAGCTTAGAAAATTACTTATTTTTTAGCACTTGTGTTTTTTTTTTTTTCCTTTTGAAAATAAAAGGTAGTTAAAAATAAATAAAAACAACAACAAGAAAGTGGTGACGAAAACCAAACCTCCAAAGTAGACTGAGAACCAGTTGCATTTGGTAACGTATATTAATAAAACTTGACAATCATAATTTATTAATAAAAGGTCTCACGTAAGACAAATTCACCTCATTACTTTCAAGATCATGAATAAGAGCAATACACTCACATTCAATAATGAGACGGAGTACAATTTATAACTTTAAGTCAAGCAAGAACCTTTTTAAATTTCTATAAATACATTAAGTTACAATTTATCAATAAGTGTGTTGCGTCTTGCGTGTATGTATATACAAATGCATATGCCTATATATAAAATGTATATCAAATAACACATTTGAAATTAACAATACCGTGGTATATGAGAGCACCAATAAGACAATAAAAATAGTTAAGAAAATTATTTATTTTTTCAACAAGTAATTAAAAGTAAAAAAACATAGAGAATGATGTTTGTGTGTGTGTGTGTGTGTGTGTGTGTGTGTGTGTTGAGAACAAGTTATTAGGAGAGAAAAAAGAATAAATTTTGACCTTATATATGAAAAAATTGGAGGAATCAGATCAATTAAAAAAAAAGTGGTGACATTTTCGTAATTATCACCAATTTTACTATACAAACTTGAACACTAAAAATTCTCAGACTTTTCCAAGTTTGCACATTTAATTTAGTACTAACATTTTGCACATTTAGTATTAACATTTTACATATTTAGTATTAAAAGATTACACTTGTAAAAATGTGAAAGTTCATTGCACTTAGGGTTTCAATTGTAGAGTTTATACCTGAGTTTTTGGTTTTATTTGATTTAGTTGTTCACTTTTTATTGCTTAAGGTCTAGCATTTACGATTTAGGTTTAAAATTTAATTTTTTTGTTGATTTTATAAAATTTATCAAGTTTTCACATTTAGTTGTTAAATATTGCATATTTAAGTGTTTAAGTTTGCATGGTGAAGTTGATGATGCCACCGTTTTGTTTTTTTTTTGTTTTTTTTTTTTTTTTTTTTTTTTAATCTGATCACATTTGTTGAAATTTTACATGGTTCTTATTTCTTTCCTCATAATTAATTTACGAGCATGAACAATTAAAATTTATCAATTGTTTACCCTTTTTTTAAAAATAATTTTGTTTACCT